TGGGTCATCTTGTTAATGCTATAAATGAATTACAACAATAAAAGAAAATTTCATCTTGAACATACATGACCGACAATATCATTTCAATATCAAAATGACATTTCCCTTACATTCAGCTTCCAAAAGTGCATTCATCTTTGCCATGTTACATTCATTTAGTTGACTAGTGCTATACGCTGTATTAACAAAAACATTAATGGCATAAATAAAAACACTGCAAAGCTCATAATCGAATGCGACTCATCAGCGATTATGAACGTGATATAGCAGTGATCTACGGCTCTGTGTATTAAATGCCGCTCCATCTGAAAGCACGTGATGGAGATTTACTATTAATCACAGAACCGGCTTTACTGATGAGATGCGCATGACAATCACATGCGATTTATCGAGCAGCCCCAAGTTTGTTTGTTGATCACAAAATTCAAAATAGATGAGGAAAACTAGGATGCCGGGTGTATTCAAACAGCGCCGCCATTACTGTCTAGAGTCCGTGGAATAGTGTGCTGTGATTGGTTGAGTGGATATATGCATTTTGCAGAAAAGGGAGACTGGCGTTTGTGTGGTTTGGAAAAAAAGGGAGAAAACATGACAGAATAAAAATAAAAAAATTGACTTTTTCAATACCGACCAGATACAATACTGATTGTACAGAAACTCAATAATAAAAAAAAGGCGTTAAATTGGCGTTTTAGAACCAAACTCTTCATTTATTCCTTAATTTATTCTTTATGCAAATAAAATAATAAATCAAGAAATGGTTGATTGGTAGTTTAACATGACACATATGCCTTTCATAAACAGATTACTCTAGTGACTTTATTAAAACATTGCTCTGTTTGTTTGGGCATTTTAACACACCAACACTGACGCCAATGACGTGAGTTTGGGACGGGACTGTTTTTTGTTTGTTTGGTTTTTTTGGCCAATGAAATATGGGCACTTGTATGAAATCATAATTTTGACAACAGAGGTTATAAACATCACATTTTATGTGTTATTTTGTTGTATTACATAATTATTATTGCTACATAAAGTCTTGAGTGCTACGATGAAGCAAACGGAATCTCACAAGATTAACAAAACATGAACTTCTCTTGTGTTTAACAGAATTAAAAAAATGCTGTAATGGAGCAAGTCACGAAAGCCTGTCCAAAAAGGGCATTGGCAGATATGAGCAGGCCATCTCATACAACATAATCAAAGAGAGTAGTAACAATGATCACGTAACTGGATTGTCGCATCTGTTAGGTGGGTATACGAAGAACAAACTAGTTTCACATGACCCTAGATAACTCCTTAAGAGTAATTTTCCAAGTGAGAAACTGGTGATTTTCTGTAAATCTATTCACAGCACCTGAGGTCCAGGATGCACCTCTCAAAACGGTTCTGAACAACCTGGATGTTCTTGAGGAGCTTGTGTTGGTATTAGACCCGGACATCTCTGGTGCCAAGAACACACGTCACCTTGCCGCCCAGTGCTCCTTTTCCTTTGCCTGGATCAATTATGCGTATTCCATGAAGGACCACAAAAGCCCCCTCGTCGCCGTTTTGGAGGGTGTCGTCACCAAAAACCCAGACTGGACTGTCAGCCACCTCGCTGAGCTGCTAACTGCCATCGGTCGCAACGATGCAGTGGAGATTTTGGCGAAGCTTCCTGCGGGTGTTTAAGAATAATTCATGTGATATTTTAAGAACACAAAACAGTAATTCACTTATTATATTGTATTGTTCAACATAACCTCGTAACTATTTTACATTTGGGCAAATTTGTGAATTTGCATTTTCATATGTAGTGAGCATTTATATGAAATCGCCAACTTGAAAATAGTTGTTTTAGAGTATCTTTTCCTATACAAGTTCAGCATTCAATGATGGCTGTTGAAGCATGCAGTGCTTGAAAAACGCACACAATATGAACGTCTAGGGTTATTTTGGATGAAAACAACTCACTTCATTCAGTTAACAATGGGTAACAGATGTGCATCTGAAGGCCATATTGAAGCATTTACAATCAAAGACAAGACACTTGGAGTTTCCCCTAAATGTTTTACCTCCATTCTATCCTAGTTCACGCTTATTTACTTTTAACACTACATAACACTACATATTAATGTTTCATAATTTGGATTTTTTTGTTAAATTACTATAATTCATAAAAAAAAAAATTATTTGAATGTTTTTATATGAATTATAAATCTTGTAAATATAATTGTTGGCAAACCAATATTACATGTTTTCAATATCTAAACCGGATTTGGCAACAAACCCTTTCTGAAAGCAATACATCATTAGTTACTAGCGGCGCACAACTGATTCTTTTGTACGTTCAGCACAAATACCACAATAAATCTTGAACTTTGTTCAAACATTGTACATCTTTATTAAGCAAAAACATTATAAATAAAAAAAGTGCATAGAAAAATTAAACAGGTTTAGAAATATGTATACAACTATTTACAAACTTAGGGGTCGTTTGTACAAGGTAGCAAAGACACATTTTTTTTTTCCATTTTATGTCTTTTTCAACACAACGTTGTTGTTGTTTTTTTAAAATAACCTAAAGGAACAGACATATTTTCTTTTCCCAAGAAGCTAGCTCTGGGAGATGCATTATCACAGGAGGTCCTGACTAGTGCTTTGCATCCTTCATTGCACACAAGCCAACTCTGCATGACAGAACAGACCAAGCAAATCTAGTTTTGCATTAGTATTACTTGATGTTGTCTGAACAGCTTGAGGTAGAATCCTTGCAAGTCTGGGGTGGTTTGATTAAAATCTGAGATGCTAAATTTCAGGATCTTGATGGAGATTCCCCCTCCACACAAACACACAGAATATGGGAAAAGCAGGAGACGACAACGTGATTTAGTGGGAGGAAACTTCTTCTTTGAGAACGTCAAATAAAATCAGACAACTAAGACATTTAAAACAAACAGCTGGCTCAAAACATCACCTCGTAAAAAGGCCACGTTGCAAGAACTCATCCTCAATAATGTTCAAGTTAAAGAAAATGGGGGGGGGGGGGGG